TTTGGTGAATCGGGACATTTTTCTCCCCAAATTGGCGAATTTAATTTAGATTTTGGGTTGTTTAGAAAATTGACATTGGCAACGCCGCTAACCTCATTCTTTTGTTTGTTGTTTGTTCAAAAAGCGGCACGCAGCGTAGTACAAGGCTTGATCATTTTTTAAGAAATTTTGATTGTTAATTTTATTTTTGTGCAAACTAAACAGTTGTTTTTTATTAAAAAATAGCAGACAAAGGTAAGAAAGGTAATGTCCATGCAGAAGTTTTTATTTCACAGACTATTCTTTCTAGAAATTATACCATCCAGCCCTCCTATTTAATTATTAAATGAAAGTGTGAAAGAGATATCAAGGTCTATTCTGTTAAAATATCATCCGACCAGTCTAGGCCCTGTTGTGAACCAGAAGGTGTGCTAAGTTGGATGTTGGATATAGAATGGAAGGAATATCATGGCCGAGAACAAGGCATAATTGTATGCCCCTTGATGTAGGGGGGTAGGTTTGTTTCTAATAGGCAGTAAAACCAAAAATTCTACTGTGAATCTTCATATTCTAGGCCTGTAAAGATAAATAATTCCTGGAGCCATCTCGAGGTATAGTACTCAAGTCGGATCGAATCAATAGATAGCACAATGAAAAGAAATAATAGCCATCATAAAACTGTAAATATGTATATAACTAGTACAATGTAGCTATTTAACTGTAAGTACAATGTAGCTAGATATTTAGTAGAATAGGGGTATTATAAATTAATACAAAATACAATAATTGGTCACTCTTTCCATTCCCATTCAATTCTTCCCATTTAATCATTTTCCCATAAAAAAAGGAAAATTAAAATTAAGAGTGCCGTTAACCAAAAATAGTGAAATAAATGGAGATAGTCAAATTTTATATTAGCGTGTAAGACTTTGATTAAAAAGGTGTAAAAGGATTATAAATGCTGTATTTATATCCTTTAATATCATGATAATATAAAAATTGAGTAGGTATCTCCATTTATTTCACTCTTTTTGGTTAAGGGCACTCTTAGTTTTAATTGCCTTAAAAATAATAAGTATAATAATAATTTAAATCTCCCGCTCTTTCATAGTTTGTACCTGTAGCCAAGTAGAGGGCGCTAAAAGCGCAATCTCCCAACATTTTACCACGCGATTCACCACTCTCTAAACTATTAACTTTCTCTATGTAACAGAGATGATACGTGTTAGGTTATAGCTTTTAGACAACCGTTCGAGACGCATTGATGTGACTCTTTTGGTTTGTAAGTCTTGGTTATTGTGACAAAGAATGATATTAAAGGTAAAGTAAATGTTTCCTCATTATTTAACTAATATTTACTAAAGCATATAGCTGATTTTTCTGTTGTAATATTTTGTGCTAAAGTTTTTCCTTATTTATTTGATCTGACAAATGTATCATATTATAACATGTGTATATATTTAATATAATCGATTTATGCTGTAAATTATTTCAGTTTAAAAGGTAATCTAAATAAAATATTTTACTGTCCATTTGTGCCGATGTTTTTGGTTCAGTGTAACAATAAGAAGGGTTCAACAAGATCGTTCTTATTGTGCACTAATATTTCTTTTTATCGTGCCTAGCAATATTTTAGTAAATAAGTCCATACAAATAAGTCATGAGCAGAATAACTCATAGTCTAAAGATATTTACATCAAACCTATCAACTTTAGCTTCAAAACTCGAAACCAGACACCTTAGTACCTGCGGGTGGGGACCTGCTAAACTAACAAAAACTCCGTATTGAATGTAATAAATGTAGCCATGTTTTGAAAGTATTAAACTATAAACCTTGGTATGAGGAAAGTGTCTGTAGTATTATTATAATTTCTCTTTTAATTAACTTCAGAACATCATAGTTGGATTCTTTGGAATAGTGATTAAGGTTTTCTCTGCCGTGCTTTTTTACTTGTGAGTTCAGGCCTTTGAATAAGAAGACTAAGGAAAGAGAATATCAAAAATCTTAGGTACACCGCGATGGGCCTCAAATATGGCCGACTTAAATTCCGGTTTACCTATCAGTGTCGTTCTAATTTTATTTAAAAAATGTAAAACTATGATATAGGGTAGACGTGGGGTAGACTCAATAATTTGTTGTTTTATTTTACGTTGTGAATAAATGTTGGTAGTAATTAAAATTGTTATAAAAATATATAATTCTAATAAAAATAGATAAGTTATAATAAGTATTTATTAACACAAACATCCGATACGCTACTGAAGCAGGTAAGTCAAATTAACGTATCTAAATTCTTTGACATCTAATCTTTGACAAGTAATAAATAAAAGCTAAAATGCAAGAAAAATATATAATTTAGTTAATTTAAGTGAATTTCATAAATGATCGGTTTACTACACGTATGTATATTATATAGTCACTTACTAGCGAAAAGTTGTTCATCCAATTTTCATTATTTCACCCATTTTTTTGCCGAGATCTACCGCACGCTACACAACCAACTATTTTAGAGTCTTTTCGATAAATCGCGATAGTGTCACTGTTAATTTAAGTTCTGCCATAATTTCCATCTAGATTTACTACCTTTATACAACTATCAGTAGTAGAATAAATAATAAATAACATAAAATAAGCTCCGTAAAGACTGACAAATCCACAAAATTTCAAATCAAATTCAAATGTGTCAAATGAATCGTCAAACAGAACTGTCAAGTATCCCCACCCTAGAGAGCTTTTATGGTGGCTTTTCCGCCGACCATCCATGAATACATGGATAGCATTATGCTCCTTCCTTAGTCTTCTTATTCAAAGGTTCAGGCAATTTACATAACCTATTCACCTCAATTTTCCTCTTTCCTCTAATGTTGCTTCTGCCGAGCGCATCGGAGGTAAGTTGTTGAACGACGCTGGGTTGTTATACTACACCATTTAAAAATCATATTTACTCAATATAAAAATAAAGTACAATCTTCTTAACGCCAACTATCAGTAGGCACCATTAAAAAATAGGGAAGAGTGCGATCCAAATAATGACTTCTATGGCTTGACCTCGACAAAATTATTATTGAATGTCCAGTCGTCCCTCCAGTCGTCCCTGACGCCAGTTCTTTTTGATCGTATAGTAAAAAATTAACAGAAGTTTACATCAATTTATATATCCATTTTTGTATATTTTTCAATTAACTATATAATATTATGTGTTAAGAAAATATAATCCTTTTGCCAAAAAATATAAAGACGTCTACTTTATTTTTTTTGTATAAGTTATGGGTATAGTTGCTAAATAAGAAAATTCAAAAACACATTTTTTATCTAGAACCACTTGTATTATATTTTCTGCTATAGTCTGTGAAACGAATAACTTTGAATTTGACAGTTCCCGCGGGCTTTTCTAGTGTTAATTTTATTAGGTTAGCAACTTGCGGCCATGCTGACGCAATGCCGTCTCTAATAGAACAGCCTCGAAGCGAGATTTATGATGTCACGCTAGTTAAATACTACGGATTAATAAATATGTAGAATACATGGAAAACATAATAATTCCTCGTATTTTTGGTTTGTATTTTAAAAATGATATAGTTTACATGAAATATACATAATATACAGTTAGTAAATACAATATATATACCTATTTATAGTAATAAATAACTTTCGCAAATAAACCAAATAAACTATGAACCATACAAATGCAGCAAATGTTTTACAATATACAAATAATGAATAGGTACATAAGATAATGGGTAAAATGTAAAATATATTTTAAATTTTGGGGTTGAAAATTGATCTAATTTAACAAACAACATTCAATATCTACTACTTACTATGGCTGAAATCGTATTCCATAGTCAATGTAGATAGTTTTAGTTTTAAGAATAATAATTTAAAAAAATACGTGGTCATCTTTTGACAAGTTTATATTAGTTAATTAATTGCAGTAAACCTTATGTGGTGTGAATATTTTATATGTAATTTTTTGGATTATATTCGACACTATTTTTTTCATATGACACAACACTGATGAAGGCTATGATGTTAGCCGAAACGTTTTTTTAACCAAAAAAAATAATGAAAAACAAATGAAAACTTAATCAGCGTTTTTCCCGAACCTAAATCCCAAGAAAATACAAAATTTTAGAATAATTTTACATACAAAATGACAGCGATCTTTATTTTATAGCCATCGCTGCAGCCTTTTTTTCTATGATATTGTATTATTTGCAAATATAATTTTTCGAACATTGATACTTGCAAAATATACATATACATTTTTTGAATGCAAATAATAATACATCACTATTAGTAGATATTGAATGTTTTTTGTTAAATTAGATCGATTTTCAAACCCCAAAATTTAAAATATATTTTACATTTTACCCATTATCTTATGTACCTATTCATTATTTGTATATTGTAAAACATTTGATGCATTTGTATGGTTCATAATTTATTTGCCAAAGTTATTTATTACTATAAATAGGTATATATATTGTATTTATTAACTGTATATTATGTATATTTCATGTAAACTATATCATTTTTAAAATACAAACCAAAAATACGAGGAATTATTATGTTTTCCATGTATTCTACAACATATTTATTAATCCGTAGTATCTAACTAGCGTGACGTCATAAATCTCGCTCCGAGGCTGTTCTATTAGAGACGGCATTGGTCTGATATTTAGAAATGTCAAAAGCTGATGACATTTTACTTTTGACAATTCTGTTGATTTTTGTAAGAAGAGGAAGAACTGTCACTTGTTTTATTATTTTCCTTTTCTATTTCACGAAAGTAAAAAGAGTTACCTATCTGATTCGTTCAGGCACTCAATTTAAAGAATATCAGTAACTTTTTTGACAGAGGAATTTTATATTTACCATGTTGGTAAAAAATAACGGTCAAAATTCAAAGTTATTCATTTCATAGACTATACACGATGCTTTTTTTTGCTATTCCTTCATATTTTCTAGTCGATTTTTATTCTATCCGAATATCAAATAACGGTAATCTTCTTTTCAGATATAGGACGAGGCGTTTTGCATCACAGGAAGAGTTCCTTGGCACTTACGCCGGAAGAAGAACCTTTTGATATAAATGTAAGTAGACTAAAATATTTTTTTCCAAATTTACAGGGTAAAGAGTCTTAAATAAGTGCAAATATTTTTAGCGGTAGTATATTTTGACCCCAGAAAAACGTTTATGAGGTTTTTTCGCGAAAAAAAAATTGAAAATTTGGATTTTTCAATTGAAAGTTTCATTTTTACTTCGATTTTTTCCAGGTAATTTCTGAAGTAACGTCAATATTTGGATGAAACTTGGTATCTGGTAGTTTTTTGACATGAGAAATTTGATTTTTATGTCAGTATGACTCCTACTAGTAGAGGGCGCCACCTACATGTGTTTTAACTGTTTTGAAGCGTAATAACTTTTTCTCCGTACCTGTATAAAACTACCGAGTAAAAAATGTACAGGGTGGGTCAAATTCGACGCTTTTAAATGGAAACACCCTTTTCTCTAGGAGATAGACGAAAACTAATATTGGTGTCTGGAGCTCAATTTTCATCAAAAACATGATGGCGAAAACCGCGCATCAATAGCTGTTACCGTTTCGGAGTTACGGGGTGTTTTTCAAAAATGTGCATTTTTAACAAATCACTGTAACTTTTTTGCTATGGAAAATTTTGTATTTCTATGAAAACATTTCCAAAGCACCTTTTTACGTAGAATTTAATGGTTTAAGTATAATTTTTTTAAAATTAATAATTTAAGAGTTATGAACAGAAAAATGATTTTTTATTTGGGACACCCTCTATATTTTTAATTAACTGAAAAGAATTTAAAATGACCTTTCTAAAAATATAGCACACTTGATATTTTGTTATAATCCCCTTCGAAATACAGAATTTTTATAAGTTCGCCACTTTTAACTAGTAGGCTTTGGACCCCTTATTGATGATATGCCCTTAATGGAATTCGAAAACATATTTTTCCAGCAAAACGACGCACCGCCTCTGAACGCTCAAGTTATCAGCAAATTTTTGCAGCCAATTTCAAGAATAATTGGATAGATAACGTCGAGGCCGCCTGACTTAGTGCCCATGGATCTAATCCTATGGATATATTTGCGGAAGAATAAAGGTTTCCTATTCTTCCGTATAATCTAGACAAGAATTAATAATACTTAGCAGTTATAAGAGGGTATCTTTCACCCCCACTGAGTTAATGAATTCCGCGAGAAATTTTCAAAAACTGCCCCGTCTGTTCATAACAGAAGACGGTCGATATGTCGAACACCTGTAGCAAAATCTCATGTCTTGGTTTGCTATTTATTTTTATTGTTATTAGATATAGTTTAAATGTGTTGATGTTGGTTAAATATATTTTAAATTGTTATACAATTCTGCATCTCTGATAGCAAATATTATTTTCGTTTTAATTGATGCTCACAGCTAGAATTTTTTTGCATAACAGCCGGTGCCGTTCAAAGCCTACTTATTTAAAAGCGGGCGAATTTTTATTTACTCTATATCTCGAAGAGGAATCTAGCAAAATATCAAGTGTGTTATATTTTGGAAAGGTTATTTTAAAATATTTTCAATAAATTAAAAATATACAGGATGTCCCATATAAAAAATCAAATTTTCTGTTGATAATTCTTAAATTATTAATTTTAAAAAAATTATACTTAAACCATTAAATTCTACGTAAAAAGGTGCTTTGGAAATGTTTTCATAAAAATACAAAATTTTCCATAGCAAAAAAGTTACAGCGACTTGTTAAAAATGCATTTTTTTGAAAAACACCCCGTAACTCCGGAACGGCAACAGATATCGATATACGGTTTTCACCGTCATGTTTTTGACAAAAATTGAGCTCCAGACACCGATATTAGTTTTTGTCTATCTCCTAGAGAAAAGGGTGTTCCCATTTAAAAGCGTCGAATTTGACCCACCCTGTACATCTCTGAGACTTTTCACGCAAAAAATATCTCTTTGTAAAAATCGCTACAAGCAACCGTTCTCAACGTATTTAGAATGGAAATAGTCAAATACATGTCATTATTGACGGAAAATAAGCACGTTAAATAGTTATTTCACTGAAATAATAAACTTGGGAATGACAAATTTTTCTGTCAAAAATTATGATAATACAGTTTCTATTGAACTTTTGGCACAAAAACATTTCAAATTTATGATTTCAGTCTAATAACTATTTAGTCATCATGTTTAATTTATGTCAATGATGACAGGTATTGATAATTTTCATTCCAAACATCTTGAAAATTATTACTCTTAGCTATTTTTACCAAGAAACTTTTTTACGTAAAAAACGTCGTAACTGTATATTTTTTTACTTGGTAGTTTTATACAGGTACGGACGAAAAATTATTACTATTCAAACCAGTTAAAAATATGTAGGTAGCGCCCTCTACTAGTAGGAGTCATATTGACATCAAAATCAATTTTTTCATGTCAAAAAACTCCTAGACACCAATTTTCATCCAAATATTGACGTTACTTCAGAAGTTATTTGGAAAAAGTCGAAATAAAAATGAAACTTTTACACCCTGTATCTCCGAAACCAAGCATTTTAGGACATACATTTATACGAACTTTTTTACCTATTTTATCTGCAGAATATGCTGACGAGGTTTTCGGAATACAATTCGGACCACCCTGTATATACAGGATGCTCTTTACAGCTCTTTAGAGGAAAGGTACCAAACCCCGGATAGTTCCCTAATTTCGGATACCATGGTATCTCCAAAGCCATCTATGTTGAGCGGCCGAAATCTCTGTAAAACTTCGAGGCGCTGTAGTAATATGTCTATTTAAAAAATTTAGTTGTATCTCATCTATTAGCCGATCTGTGGTTTGTTTCGTGTATTTGAATTATTTGAGTTTATTTTTTTACTCCTTTTTGCAATTGTTTTTGTGGTGGTGTTTTGTTTAACTAGGACTTTAAATATACGAAAAGGTAGGTAAAATGTTGTAGTTTATCTTATACATAACACAATTTCAGTTTGTTGTTGTATACAATTTTTACCGGCGACCTAACCTCAAAATGACAAGTTGCCTAATTTCGGGTTGAGTCAGTTACATAATTTCGGATATCTGAAATTGGGAGACCAGATTTCAGTAGGTATTTTATTGGTGTGTTTTTAGTTACAGAAACGCCTGGAAGAAATAAAAAACATAAAACCTGGTCTTCAGAAAGCATGCAGAACGCTATTGATGCCGTAAAAAAACAAAGAAATGGGATATTTGAAAGCTTCGCGCACTTGTAATGTTCCAAAATCAACTTTAGAAGACTATGTCCAGCGTGGCAGTTCTCCAGCTCCAGCCGGAAGAAGATCTGGTCTTTCGCTAGACTTGGAGAAGATGTTAAATTGTGATGTTGATTGATTATTATTTAGAATCGTTCTTTATATTACTTTTACTCTACATCCGAAATTAGGAACCATGTTATCCGAAATTAGGAACCATGTTATCCGAAATTAGGCAACTTTTTTTTCAAATCACAGAAATGCATATTTTTGGTTTTTTAGTTTTTTCAGTATTTTTGTATTAAAATTAAACTTATTTGACTGTGTATATCTTTTTACTATACCCCTATAATTATATTTACCTGTATACCCAAAGTCCAATTTAATTTTTTCTTTTATTATAAATAAAAACAAAAAGCTATCCGAAATATGGCACCTTTCCTCTACCATTTTTCAAATAACTCCAAAATAACCGAGTTATTTTACTTTGAAAATTTCCGATAAAAAACATTTTTTTGCTTAAGTTTTGAGAACCACTGGACCTGTTGCGGGTTTTCTTTTTTGTAAATTTAATCTACTCTCTCTACCTATGTTACCATACTACCAAAAAATTATGTTTGTTAAGTAAAAACAAAAAAATCCAAATTTTTTTTCAAAAAATTTCAAATTTTCAAAATCTTATATTTGCGAAAAAAATCTAGTTTCTGGTATCAAAAAAAAAACTACCCCTAAACTATAAATATACGAAGTATGTAAAAAGTCTTAAAAATGGTAGTTTTATCACTGTCTAAAAAGGATTTTCTCCAAGTTAAAGTTGAAAAAGTAAATTAACTTACAAACTTTCTTATTCAGTAAACTTTCGCGCAATATTCCTCGTTAAATCTGTCGTTTTCTTTGACTCGAGCTTTTCCAGAAATATTAAAAGAATTTCAGGAACATGGAATAATGATAAAAAGGCACATGTAACTCTCTGTAATCACAAATTTTCAGTTTTCTTCTTAAATATATCAATTTGATACTCAGATGTAAGTAAGTACGTTATCGTTTTTATTTTTATTATTTTTTTTATATGTAGTATTAAACTACCCACGATTATCGCATATTTTCTAAAAAAAAATATTTATTAATTCGAAAAACAATACACTTTGAATTCCCTGACTTACAGTTTTAAATAGTTTGAATACTGTAGGTTTGTTCCAACCCCAAGTTTTAGAACGGTTCTGGAACCGTTCTGAAATCATTTAGTCTTATCCGTTAATCTTAGCGTTAACTCGGCACTGTTTTTGATCGATTCTAGATTGACAATCGGTTGGAACCGTTTCGGAACCGTTTTTAATCTGTCTTGTCAAAACACGGGTTAAAATAACCTCACTTTTTGTTTGATGTAAGATGTAAACAAAACAAACCTTAATAATATTCTTCAGAGATATTCTTATTAATAATTGTATAGAACAGTGGGGGGAAACTGTAAAAAGTGGTAAATTACTGCCGATTCTTTGATTGCATGTAAGCTCGGCTCCATAGGAATATATTGGTTACAAATATGCAAATAAATAGTCGACCGATTAAAAATTGCCTGTCAGAGTATAGCCTAATGCAATCAAATATTGGGCCGATCCGATCGGCTCCATAAAAATGTATTATTTTCACTTCTGCAACTAAATAATCGGCCGACTGAAGACTATATGTCAGTGCGTACCCTAGTTATCTTAAAAAAAAACTCGAATACAAAATAGTTGTCGATTTTCGATAGAAATCAGTACATGTATATTATTTCGTATATTTTTCATCAAAGCACTGTTCATTAAAATGTCGTATCCTATGTTATAG